GAGGATCTTCTTATATTGCTCCTCATAGTTGTGCTTGGCGCGAGGTTCATTGACGGCGGCGATGATGTGGTCTGGCTGGCGGCGATGATTTTGGCCAGACTTGGGTCCTTTTGTCCGATCATGGCCGCTGTCGCGATGGTAACTGCAGTCGTTGTGGCGTCGGTCGTCAGGGCGGTCGTCGTAGTGGCGTGTTGGGCGATGAGTGCCCACATCCTCGTTGAAGCGCACCTTGGCTTCCTCAACGTCGGTGTACTGGTTGGCGGTCGTGATCATCTCGCCAATCCCTGTGGGCGGCTTGCGGTTGAACTTGGAGCGAAGTTCGCGGTGATGGAGTCCTCTGATGAAGGCGGTGATGACCTCCGCTTCCGTGATGTTGGGAATAGAATTCCTCATCTCGGAGAAGCGTCTGATGTAGCTGCGGAGGAGCTCAGATGGCTTCTGGTTGATGCGGTTGAGATCGTGCTTGGTGCCCGGCTGAGTACACGTAGCCATATAGTTGTCGGTGAAGACTTTTTTCAGCTCTTCCCAGGATCCGATGGAGTCTGGGGCAAGGCTTGTAAACCAGCTCATGGCGACTGGCGTGAGCATGATGGGAAGATAGTTCGCCATGACGCTGGTGTCTCCTCCTCCGACGCGGACAGTAGTGGCGTAAGCCTATAGCCACTGTGTCGGGTTCATCCTTCCTTCGTAGGGCTCGACCCTAGTGATTTTGAAACCACGGGGCCACTAAAGTGTTTGAAGCGCCCTTGTGAATGCTGGGGGCCCTTCGGGGTTGTCGGCACCATCGTCTACAGTGTTGCCGATGGCGAGCGGCTCAAGAGCTGAGTCAGGGTTATCGTACTCTTGCTCGTACTCCTGGCGGCGGCGTACTTCTTCTTCATGGTGACCGAAGCGGCGTTCGTCGATACGCCGTCGTGCATCTCGGAGATTGTTGAGGTGGACTCAGATGTCCTGGTCGACCTCCTGGCCGTATTGGCGGTGATGTTTGTTGCGGTTGCCCCTAGCTCCACCCTAGAGGGGTTGCCTGTTGTCGCGGTGCTGGTCAATGAAGCGACTTGGGCGGCGATCGGATCTTGTGGCGACTGATTGGTGAATCTAGGTTGTGGAGTATGAAGGCCTCTGATCCTAGCGGATCATTGATCTGGCAATGCGCCGCTTTAAGCATTGCAGCGACCTTGGCGACCTTCGGTGTCTGCGAGAGCCGGGCGAGCTCGTTGGCAGCCACGGCCAGGTTGGCGCTTGGGGTCTTGTAGATGTCGTGGCCGTCAACACGGATAAACTCGTCGTCGAGGTTGCGTTGGAGTGGTCTTCCTTGCGAGTCAAGCTACCGCTCGGCCCTCGCAAGGACAATCTCGTTTGTGCGGCGCTGCGCACGGTTGACATTCCGGTTCTCGTGGGCGGTGCATTCCTCCTCGGTTTCGCCATTCCGAGGGGGGCTGTCGATGCTAACGTTGAAGATTGCGCCGCCACGGAACGGAGGGGGAAGAAGTAGTTTGGTGGTCATTTCGACGATGGTCTCCGTAGAGCCCTAGGACTTGGAGTCCGAATTCTCCTCCGGGATGGTCTGGAGGGACGCTCCGGAGCATCGGCCGATGTGGAGCATGTTGACGGCCGGCGAAGGCTGGTCAGCGATCTGGTCGGTGGGAGGATGGACATCTCCAACCTGGTCGGCGAATCTGCCCCTTAGGGCATCTTGGTAAGCGACGGTGGCGTTGGTGAACCCGAAGGGTAGGGCCGTAGCCCCTAGAGTTTCCCGAGCAGCCTCCGATAGATCTAGATCAGAGGGTGGTCAGCGTTGAACTAGAGTGTCCAGAGCCGATTCGGTGATGGAGAGGCAATCAACGAGTTTTAGACCAACTCGATCGATGGATGCGATCAGATCATCATTGTTGATCTGCCTCCTATGGTAGCGAGGAAGCAGGCGGTGAGTCGTCGATGAAGGCGACCTCGGAGGCGGTTCCGAGATTGGATCTACAGTTGTAGGTACAGGGGTGATCGGCGTAGAGTTGATCTACACCGGCTCGAGGAGCTCTCCGACTTCGTCAGCATTGATGATCCATGAGATGGATCCGACCGTGAAGATTTGGCCGGGCTATGGGAGGAACGAAGAGCCTACAGAAAAAGCCATCTTGTTCGACAAGGAAACAGCACGCACACCCCTACCTGGCGCGCCAACTGTCGACAGAATATCATCGGCAGTCCTCCGAGGGGTAACCCACGAAGGTAGATTGATCGGCAGAGAAGCGTGTGATCAAGAACAAGAAGGCAACAGAGACACACAAGTTAGACAGGTTTAGGCCGTCAGTATGACGTAATACCCTACTCCTATGGTCTGTTGGTTTGTATTAGCTATCGTATGATACTGCGTGTATTTGGAGGGGGTCCCTGCCCGCCTTATATAGTCCGGGGGTAGGGTTACAAGTTGGTTAGATCTAAGAGGTAACCAGAAAATAATAACATATTACAGGAATCTTGGGATCATACGTATCCTAACAGTTCTCGTAGTATCTTCAGGATATCTTCCCGGAGTCTTGCGAGAGGCACCGAGCAGAGTCGTGCCCCGCAAGGCTTCTTCTCATGGGCTGGACCGCCCCTGGAGGCGCAGCCCATGTGGTTTGCCGTGAGTATCCGGGGTCGTACCCCACACTTATACTATGCGGATGTGTTCAGTAAGGGTCTTTTTACCTCAATTTTTACAGATTTTCGCTCTAGTTTAAATGTCTCCACTCTCGGCTAGTGTCGATGTTCCAACTGCAGGGGGTCGGGTGTTAGGATATCAAGGGTCGTAGTTGCTTTATTTTCTATGTTTCATATCTCTTTGTATCCCATGTACTCTCTATATAAGTCCACACGAGATTAATGGAAATTTGAGTTGAGTTAATCCTCCAATAAATTGATTGGTGTAAAAAAACATGAGTCGGTTCTTTCTCTTTCATCCAAAGAATCGATGATATGATGATTTGATGAGTCGATTTCTTATCAGAACGTCAACAACAACACTCCGAGTACCCCCGTAGAGCAACTCCAACAGAAGAGCTATCCATGTTGTGTAATCTATATTGACTAGTTTGGGAAAAAAGAGAGAGTCCAACCCTTATTGTATCTGGCTTTCTAAAATAGTAAGTCATATATCCCAAAATTCTCGCATGCTAGATATAGCTTGCATGTGCCGCTAGCCATTCGTCTCACTCTATTAGAAAGGCTGTTGGAGTTTTCTGTTTTTGGCTGGAGTTTCTACTTTAAAGGTTGACTAAATCATGAGTTTAGCCATCTATTTTTACCGACTCTTGCAGGTGTTCTTATAAAACTCTGTATGTCGCCATCAAAATACCGTTTTTACCCTTTCATAATTTTCGGCTCAACCGTTGTCGCCTCCGGGATAATTAACTTTTTACCATTATAACGGATGGCGTCTCCTCAAATAACAGCTTTAGATTTGGCGCTACGCTTTTAGCAGTTGAGAGAGAAAAACGATACATATTTACCACTTGTGCTCGCGTGGCACGCCAACTCCACTGTCCAGCTCGAATTCGAGTCAGTAGCCCCATACGAAAAGTCAGTCATGCCCCTCCCTCTTTGCCATAGATTAAAGGATGGATGGCTCAGGATAGCTGCAGACATAGATACGTATACTTGTATTTTTAAGATATTTATTTTTTATTTTGCAAAGGAAAAAAAGAACGTATATGACATCATCATAATGTCATGGCTCAAGAGCAAAGCACTGTGCATGGCGCACGGCACACGCCCTAGGCCGGCGTTCAGCATGCTGCGCCTGTGCATCTTCATGCACTCTGCTCCCTCACCACTGTCCGCTAGCAGGTGTCCTCCATCTAGTGCGCCGCATCGGCGACCCAGGAGAGCGCGGCCACGGCGCGGTTCCAGTTGGCACGCAGCTAGCGCATGTGAGCGCCTCGAGCTCGGCGTAGAGCGCGGCGGTGGTGCCACGAGGCGGTCGAGCCTGCGCATGAGCGATGCGGCGTCGGAGGCAGAGGTGACGACGAACGCGCTCGCATCGGAGCGGCCAGCGAGGAGGTCGGCGTAGACGCGGTCGAAGCCCATGAGTGCCGGGGCCACGCACCGGCGGCCGAGGCGTGAGGCCACGGCCGCAACGCGGTTGAGCGCGTCGAGCTTCTCGGCGAGCGTGAGCGCGAGGAGGCGTGCGTTGTCGCGGGGCACGAGCGTGCGCACGCCGTGGGAGCCGAGGCAGAGTGGGCCAAGCTGCACGACATGGCGTTGGCCACCTCGAAGGACAGGATGCCCACCCTGTCGTCACCATGGAGAGCACCTTGTGCACCAGCGGCTCCGCCACCATGCCTCCGGCCTCGTCGTCAAGCACCCAGCCCACGAAATCTAGAAAGGCGTAGTAAATAAATTCTTTTGCTTTTGCAGCGGCGAAAACGATTTCGGAGACCAGCCAGCCAAGAAGGGGATTTGAATTGAAACGCTTCGATTTCGTGCCTGACTGGCTAGCTGCCCATAGATTGCACGAGCTCCTCTCCTTCCTCGCTGTGTGGTGATGGGCGGAGGTTGAAGAAGAATATAACTTATAACTTGTGGGGCCTGTGTGTTAGTAACGAGGAGGAAGAAGCTAGGGGCAGACACAATCATTTTATCTGAGCACCAGCGGAGCTAACGTGGCTAACGTGGCTCACGAGCACAAATAGTAAGTATATATCGATTTTCTTTTTCTGGTGCTGAAAACGTAGCGGGGAAACTAAAGCTGCTCTTTTGAGCCGGTGCGGTTATAGCGGTAAAAAGTTAATTATCCCGTCGCCTCCGCTCGCCTCCCGCACGCCAACCCCTGCCCTCTCCCACCGCGTCGTCCTCTCCTACACTCCCTCTTCCTCTATCCGCCTAGATCTCGCCAGGATTTGCCGCGTCTCTTCTGTAATTTTTCCTCCGGAACCAGGGCTCCGTCGGGGCAGAGAGGCAGGAGGGATAGGCCATCCCGGAAAGTGGCGGATCTGGGTGTTATCGGAAGCTGTTCAGCGGGAGGCATGGACTGCGGCGGAGCTGTGGACAGCAGCGGTGAGTGTGATGGATTCTGCCGTGTTAGGGTTTTGTAGCGCAATCTTTTATTTTATTTAAAGGTTTTGTAGACCATTATACATTGATCAACTCGATTAATTGGTTGACTTTTTTTGTTAGTCGTGGAGGGGCACATTGTTTTTTCTTCAACAGTTTTTTCGTTGATGTAGCGTTGCACATCACTTTCTTGTTTTAGGTTTGTGTTATTTTGTTGAGTAATTCTGATTTAATTGGGTGAAATTGTCCCTTGCAAAAAGGAAAAAAAAAAGTAGTGTGGAAGGTTGCATAGTGATTGGATAATAGTTTTGAAACGTGAAAAATTTCCCTCTTGTTAGTATGGACATGGTTATATATGTTATACATGTATAGGCAACATGATCATGCATATGTAGAAGAGACTTTGTTTTCTTCTACCTGAAAATATTATTCGTGTGCACACTTAAAAGCTATAAATGGTAAATTACACAAGAAGAGATAATTATGCACAAGATAACCTACCCTCCTTGTCGTGTGTTGATGTTATTATTGGGAAAATTGATATTCCCTAAGCTGGTTTTAACCCAGCACTCTTGGTGCTCTACATGATGTATACATTGATACACTGCCCCCTATCAATAGCACCTATCCTGTGGGACAGGACCTTCGCTTGAGTCTTCGTCTAACTTCAGAATAATTTAATACTTCTTGTCATCTTCTGTTTTTTCATTCTGGAATTTTGATGTAAAACATAATTTGCCGTCGAAGTTTCTTGTGGTGGATATGTGGTAAGGTGCATTATATTTGGTATTTAGTTGAGTTTTGGTTTAGGAGAAAGGTATGGGATATGGTGAACAAGTGGCTAAGATGTGATGGTATTATATTTATTATTTTGATGTAAAACAGTAGATAATAGCTTGGTTCCTATGTTTTCCCTTCTTCCTCATGCGCTCCTCAACAATTGGCTTTAGAGGTGTTCCAAACTGGTAGTATTTACTCATATTTCTGCCCATTTTCCCCATTGGGCAGCATTTCAAATCAAAGAGCATGCCTTTATAGACAGAAAAGCTGTAACATACATGGCTCTATTAGGGTATTTACCTGCAAATAATTGGGTTATCAGGCCAGATTGCCATCCCTTTGGACCCATACAGTTCCCTGATGGAAGTAATGCCAAGTGCGCACATAAGCCCTACTGTATGGAAGTCTTTTCATTCTCTCCTAGTTGCCTGGATGCAAGCAAGGTGATGCCATTCATTTAAAAAGGAAACAAGGTGATACTGTTATAACTTATAAGTTATCATGCTGAGTTAATAGAGCTTTGTTATGACCTTTACTGCCACGGTTTGATTTTTTTTCCTGCGTACTTGGGCACTAGCTATGTTCTGAATGCACTTAGCTCAATAATTTTTTAACATTGTTTAGCTGTACGCTTAACAAATTTCCGTATTGTAAAGTTAAAATTTGCATTTTTAATTCAACTTGGTTGGTCTGAACTGTAGAACTACATTAACAGTGATAAAGCACGTGACTTTGTGGTTATTTGGCACAGCTCTAGATCTGGGATCTATGCATGATTTGTAGTTTGCAGGATAAAATGGAATGGTCTAAAGATATATCTAAAATAATTACAAAATTGGTCAACCAAATACGTTCTAGTGCCCAGGGCTCTAGATCTATGAATTTCTGGAGCTAGGGACTACCCCAAATATGCAGTTTAAATTCTTCATCGGTACAAAGGATTGTGCCATTCTCTACCTTCCTATCTAAATTCTAGAAGAAGTTAGCAATGAGTACAAGATAACTTACAAAATCTACTGTGGTAAGAGACCCTAAAACCTTTGAATCCCCATCTCGTGTTTGCAACCTCTTGTGTTGCAACCGCGGTTACATGTTGTTTCCATGGACTGAATAGTTTCACCTGTTTCCAGTTATTTCCATGGATTTTGTTGATTTCCTCCACTGCTGGTTGTAGAGGGTTGCACTTAGTGATTTTGTCATGTGCGGTCGCACATACGCCAGGCGCAGGAGAGCCCGCGACGTGCACCGGGCGGCCGAGCGAGCAACGACCGAGCGAGCAGCCAGGGCGCAGGAAGGGCAGGCGAGTGGCTAGGAGGAAAGTTAGCTAGCTGATTAGTTGCTTCCTTGTTGGATTAGTCCTACAATCAAGGAGAGCCTTCTCCATCTGTTAGGCCACGGGCCATATATGCATGTACGCTGGGACAATTGAGATTAACGAAGAAGTTATCCCTAATCTCTCTTCCTCTCTTAAGCCGACGGCCGAGGGGCATAACCTCGCCGGCGTGACGGACGGCGGCTACGAGCTACGTAGCCGAGGTCCGGCCAGTCAGGGGTTTGAGGCCCTTGACAGATTTGAAGTGCGTGTGGTAGAACTTGAAACATTTGTATTGTCTTCCCCTCATCTCCCTTTGGCTTTCAGTACCATTAATTGCTGTGGGTGCTGCACTGAGGTGTATAATATTCCATTATCTGTTAGCCTCTGGAGCATTTGTAGTGCCCCTACCAAACTAAGGACTTGAAACTAAAGCTGGGAATTTGGGCATGTTCTTCTGAATAGTTGTGCATCTGTGCATGTGGTATTGTGCCCACTGGCCATGTTAGTGAGTGACAATGTTGGTGCCAGTGGGATACAACTTTTCACTGGCCTGTACATCAGCTGCTATTTTCCTTTCCACATAACATTCCGGTAGAATTACAATTGAATTTGTCGGTTATGACCATCTGCACCCATTGCAAAAGAAGACAGAAAAGGCCAAATGGCCAATGCAATAATGATTTGTAGGTAGGGAATATTGATTACAACAACAACAACAAAGCCTTTAAGTCCCAAACAAGTTGGGGTAGGGAATATTGATTCCTTATGTATTTTGAAGCTGGGTTGTGTTTGAGTCACTCTACTAGGAGATAAGAGCATTAAAATAATAGAAAGCATTGTTATAGCATTATTATGTAAAATGGTTACCTTTATGAACAGAATTTTCATATGTTGAAAGTATACTTTGGAATTGTTTCGCACAGGTTCCTGCCGGTGACAGGCTGGCAATTGGTACCTACCCACCGGTTTGAACCAGTCAGGTAACAACATTTGAAATGCTATACTCAGAAATTTGGCATTGGTTACAGGAACCGATGATGATCTTCCACCATCATATCAGAACAGCAGAGGCATGAAAGGCAGTGGACGCACCACTGGAAATGGAAGAGATACTATTGGCGCTTCTCTGTATACTAGAGTTCAACCTCAGACAGATATGGAAACACAAATACATCAGCTTGAGCAAGAAGCATATTGTTCAGTTCTTAGAGCGTTCAAGGCTCAATCTGATGCTATAACATGGGTATACACTCTTGTCTCTTCATGTTTTTAAATTATTTAGTCTGGTTGGCCTAGATTTCATGGAATCTCATAAAAGTTTGAAGGCACTATCTCAGGAAAAAGAAAGTCTCATTACTGAGCTTAGGAAGGAGCTACAAGTATCTGACAAGGAACACAGGGAGTTGCTAAACAGAGTTAATAGTGATGATATTATCCAAAGAATAAGGTATTGTGTGGACACATGATGCATCTGAACTGTGCAATACCCTCTCCTAACACACGCACACCCAAAAATAAGAACTCCTTTTCCACTCTTTCGTCACATGTGTTCTTTTCTTAATATAAGGGAATGGAGAGAGTCAACTGGTGGGCTTAAGATGAATTTGGTTAATAATTCTCAGCGTACACATGACCTGATGCCCAGCCCTACGACCTCTGCTCGCAAGAGGCAAAAGATGTCTCAACCCATTCCTTCTGCATCTGTGCCTGCACCATCTGCTATGCATTCACAGCCTTTAACTGCACCAATGCAACCGTCATCTTCAGGAGCAAAAAAGGCAGCTCCACCTGGCACAAAAGTGAAAAAGACCAAACCAGTAAGTGATGGGTGAATCATCTGCATATAATTTTGTGGTTGTAATTTTTGTAACATGATATGGGTTATTTGTGGGCAATTAATTGTGCTTGAAGGGCCAGAAGATACCTGGTGGCCCTGCAGTCAAATCTATGCCATCTTCTGCTGGTCCTGGTGGACGGGGACCTATTATCAATAGAAATATGTCTGCTGGCCTTCCACCTGAAGGCCCACAATTAAATCCATTAATCGGTCGTAAAGTCATGACTCGGTGGCCTGACGACAATAGCTTTTATGAAGCTGAAATAACTGACTATGATCCATCAAAGGTATGCCTTGTTTCTAAGGCGTCATAAGTATCACTTATCTTTGTTTATATAATTAATCAAGTTGCTCTAATTATATAGGATGTCTATGCACTGGTTTATGACATAAATACAGCACATGAGACATGGGAATGGGTTGATTTCAAGGAGGTAAATGTTTATTTACTCTGAGTGCCGAGAAAAGTCTATTTTGCAGTCCTTAACTCTTCATTCTGTTAATTTTATTGTCATGTCCGAAACTTGATAAAATACATCCCTCAACTTTCGAAACTCGAAGCGGTGTAAACTATCGTCCTAAGGTTGGTTTTGTGGGTGGTTTTAGGTGGTGTGGTAGCCACATCAGCAAGTTTTGCTGTGTAACTGCCGACATCACCTATTTTTGCAGGGACAGACACATCACTCCTGTAGTGCTGCTGTATTGTGTCTCCACGTGGATGCTTTGGCTGACATATCACTAAAAGCACCCCCCAAAACCAGCTCTGGGAGATAATTTGCGCTGGTTTTGAGAATGAAGAAACATATTTCTATCTGGTTTTGTTTAGGGATGGGAATAATGATGGATAAGTCTCTGTGGTCTTTGTCGGGCTGCAGCAGTCTTTGTGGGGCTGCAGCAGCATGGTGGTCTTGCTGCCCATCAAGGACAACATCCTTGACTGGCTAGGACACCATCTTAGCATCTAGGACAGCATCTAGGACAGCATCTAGGACAGCATCTAGGACAGCATCTAGGACAGCATCTAGGACAGCATCTTAGACTAGCATCTTGGCATATGCTTGGTTGGCTAGCAGCCTATAAATATGTATCCCCAACCCCTCAGGTTGGCATGGCATTGTGTGAGAAATAAACCAAAAAATTGCTCCAACTCCTAGTGTCATCCTCTCTCGATGAGTGTAAGAATTCTGCTACTAACAAGAGTAAGAATTCAAATGACGAACAACTGTATCGAGTCAGTACTATCCTCAGAGCTTTGAGCATCTCCTGCTCATCTCCTTTCCCAACCTAAGAATAAATTTCCCCGAGAGCAAGAAGCAGCTCCGCCGCTCCTCGCTCACCTCTCTCTCCTCTGCAGCAGACGAAAGCGTGAAGCAACCCTCTCCCCACGCAATGCCCCAGTGCGTGTCATGTCCGTAGGGCGCCTCTCGGCCTTCGATCGCCTCGAGCACGCCGGCGTCGGCGAGGTCAAACTTGCCGCGCGCAGAGGAACGCGAGCGAAGCGGTGGCGAGACCACCATGCAAGTGCAACAAAGCGTCGAGGTCGGCGGCCATGGGCAGCGGCAGAGAGGTCGAGGCTCACGCGTGGCGACAAGATCAACCAGTTTCTCTTTATCGACGACAATACCGACGCGACCTCGAGCCGCTAGGGAGGGCGGGGAGGCGAAGGCGGCGCGATGGCGCGCAACAAGATGCCTGAGCGCCGCAGCGGCCTGAACGAAAGCGCGGACGGGCGGCGGCGTTTTGGAGGAGGCGCGCACGGCGGTGGCGCTCTTGGAGGAGGCGCGCACGGCAACGGTGGGCGGACGGGTCGATGGAGAGCGCGTCCTTCACGAGCGATGGCTCTCTCTCCCGGATCGATGCCGTGGTTACCATGGGCTCCAAGTCGTTGTCGGGGCGCGTCGGCCCGGCGGTGGGTGGCCTACCCTCACTAAGACCAACTTCGTCCGAGTGGGGTCGTGGTGATGAGGGTAAAGCTCAGTCTGCACATGTGGGAAGCGGTCCGATGCGGCGACGTCGACTACGACCGGATCGGCGGTATTGGATGCCCTCATCGTTCGCCCCCGCCCGAGAAGCGCTCTCGCTTACCAACAAGCGGATCGCCAAGGAGGCTTGGGACGCCATCGCCATGCAAGCACGCGCCGGCAACCGACCGCGCCGCAAAATCCACACCGTAGGCACTTCGCAGGAGTGGGAGAACACGCCTTCAAGCCGTGAGGGCGTTGATGACTTTGCTCTCTGTCTCAACACTCACTGCGTAAGATGGTGCGATTCGGCGATGACACCTACGGCGAGGAGAGAGCTGTCGAAAAGCTCTTCTGCTGCGTCCCCGAGAAGTACAAGCAGATGGCTCGCTCGATCAAGTCCCTGTTGGATCTCTCCACGATGTCGATCGAGGAGGCAATAGGTCGCCTCAAGGTCGTCGACAACGATGAGTCACAGTCTCTCTCGGGGCCCATCACCACCGGCGGAAACTCCTTCTCACTCGGGAGCGGTGGGTCTGCCAAAGGTGAAGCCGGAAGAAGGGGAGCCTTCTTCCGCGATAAGCGGCCGCAAGCGTGGCAAGCCAGCAGCAGAGACGCCAGTAGGGGCGCGAGGACGTCTTAGGGGTGATGCCCGCGAGGCGCCAGTGGCGCCACGCCAGCAAGCACAAGCCGCACGACGAGGCGACACTGCCACAATCTGCGGCCACTTTGGCATTGGGCCAAGGATCGTCGATACCACGACGCAGCAGCCAGCCCACGTCGCTGACAAGCGGAGGAGGAGCCATTACTGTTATGGCACATGCAAGCATCGAGCTACCTCCAGTGCATCGGCGGCAGCGGCTCTCCACCTTGAGCCAAAAGCACACGCCCTCCTCGAAAGCGGCTCCCAAACGCGACAAGATCGGCGGTGGTGCCTCAACACCGGCGCCACCCATCACATGACCGGTCGACGGAGTTCTTCACCGAGCTTGACTCTAGCGTCCGAGGCTCCGTCAAGTTTGGGGATGCCTCCGTGGAGATCAAGGGCGTCGGCTCCGCATCTTCACTGCTGCGTCTCACGGTGAGCATAGGTCGCTCACCGAGTCTACTACATCCCAGCGTTGAGGAACTCTATCATCAACTTGGGATAGCCGGATGAGAACGGTTCACGCGTGGTGGTTGAGGATGGAGTCATGAGGATTTGGGATCGCCGTCGTCGCCTTCTTGCTTGCCAAAGTGACCGTGGCGCAAATCGACTCGTCCTTAACGTCACGGTGTACATCTCTCTCTCGGCGCTTTCGGGATGACGAGGCGTGCGCGATGGCACGCAGCGCCGGGCACCTTCACTTCGAGGCCCGAAGCGGCTCGGTTACCGCGGAGATGGTGCGAGGCTGCGCCGTGCCTCGACCATGTGGAGCAGCACTCTCTGCGGCGTCTGCGTGTTGACGGGCAGCAGAGGCGACTCTCCTTTCCCCAATGGGCGAGCTTTCGAGCCAAGGAGAGGCTCGAGCTTGTGCACGGGACTTGTGTGGCCCAGTGACACCGCCACACCGGGAAGGACGACGCTACTTCCTGCGCTGCGTCGACGACCTCTCCCGCTACATGTGGGTGAATGGTCCTCGGCGGCAAGGGAGAGGTCATGGACACCATCAAGTGCTCGCGCAAGGCTGCTGCCATGAGGCGATCATGCGCAAAGTCAGCTGCAGGTGTTGCACACCAACAACGCGGCGAATTCACGGCACGGCGGTGAATTCGCGTCATCTTCTTGATGATGAGGGCATTCAGCGCCACTACTCTCCGCCGCTGACACAAATTTCGCAGCGAGAATGGCGTCGTCGGCGGCGCAACCCGGGACGGTTGTGGGGATGGCTCGGGCCCTTCTCAAGCGAGAGGGATGCCTACCGCTTTCCGGGAGAGGCGGTGGTGTTGGCCGTCTACATCCTCAACCGCTTGCCTACCAAAGGCGCTTTTGACGGCGGGGGCCGTCTGAGGCTTGGCATGGGCGCAAGCCGGCGGTCTCCCACTTATGGGTCTTGGTACCTCGCGTTAAGCTAAGGAGCTTGGCCACATCAAGAAGCTCGACAACAGAGCACTCTGGGAGTGTTCATTGGTTCTGTGAGGCTCGAGGCCCTACCGCATCGTCGACCAAGACACGGCGTGCGCGCAGCTGCAGCGCGACGTTAGTGTTCGACAAAGGGCGAGGATGGGCGTGGGACAAGGCGGTGGGCGGCGGCTCGGCTCCAACGTCACGACGACTTCACTGTCCGAGTACATCCACTTCGAGGGAGCTGGGGAGTAGGCGGCTCTTCTTCGATGAGCGCGTCTACCCAGTCCCCCGAGCCTCCACCGACCCCGGCGCTGCAACTCGACAAAGACCACGCTCTCCACCAGGACCTCACCACGATGAGTTCTTCGCCGCTCCACCACGGCCGCAGACCGCCACGCACTCCAAAGACCGACAGCAGGCACTCTCTCGAGCACGTCTACTCCAACACCGGCTAAGTGTCGAGCACAACCCGGTTGAGGTCGCTACTCGCTCTCACGACGAGGCGCGATCGACGCGTACACCACGACGGCGAGCGAGCGCTATGGTACCATACGATGGAGAACCTTCTCGGCGACCACCGGCAAGTGCGGACCGGTGCCTCATGACCGGAGGCGAAGGTTGCACCTTGCGATGTGGCGGCGGCGAGCCTCGATCGTTTGCGGAGGTTGAGAGACACGCGCATGGCGCGCCGCGATGCAATTGAGATGGATGCGGTTGAGAAGAACCAGACTGAGAGCTTGGCTTGACCTTCCTCGTGGTCACCGCGCGATCACCCTTAAGTGGGTGTACAAGTCAAGAGGATGAAGCGGCGCCATCGCAAGGCTCACTTGGTGGCACGAGGTTTCGTGCGGCAGAGGGGTCGACTTCGACGACGCCTTTGCTCCGTGGCACGGATGGAGTCCGTCGCGACTCCTTCGCGCTTAGCCGCCAGGAGGGTCGGCATGTTCATCACATGGACGCCAAGTCGGCGTTCATAACGGCGACTTGAAGGAGGAGGTCTACGTGCACCGACCGCGGGATTTGCGATCCTCGGCAAGGAGGGCAGGTGCTCACTTTGCGCAAGGCCCTCTATGGCTTGCGGCGAGACACGAGGGCGTGGAATGCCAAGTTGGATTCCACGCTAAAGGGATGGGCTTGAGCAAAGTCGCAGACGAGGCGGCCATCTACCGGCCGGGCGATGGAGGAAATGCTCTGCTGGTGGGTGTCTACGTCGACGACTTGGTGATCACCGGCACCAAGGATGCGGAGGTGGCGGCATTCAAGGAAGAGATGAAGGCCACCTTCCAGATGAGTGACCTGGGGCCTCTCTCTTTCTATCTAGGAATCGAGGTGCACCAGGATGACTCCAGTATCACGCTTCGATTGACCGCCTACGCCAAGCGCGTCGTTGAGCTAGCTGGGCTCATCGACTGAAACCCAGCTCTCA